CGCCTGCCGCGCTTTGCGGGCGTGCGACGGATAGAGACCGCGCCCCGTGCGCACCCCCCTGGTGTCGAGGAAATGCCACGCCTGCCGCGCTTTGCGGGCGTGCGACGGATAGAGACCGCACCCCGTGCGCACCCCCCTGGTGTCGAGGAAATGCCACGCCTGCCGCGCTTTGCGAGCGTGTGTTTGTGTGTGTGTGAGTGTGTTTGTGTGTGTGTGTGTGTGTTGCCGTGCATGTGTTGAGCGCGGGTGAGGAGAGGAAGGGGGGGAGGGAGGAGGGGAGGAGGGTGAGGAGGAGGAGACGCGGGTGCGCCGCGGCAGGGAAGAAAACCATAACCCCACGAAACATGTGGGGAACTAATCAAACCTAGTCAAAAAGTCGTACCCAAACTATTTTTGCGACAATTTCTGATTATGAAGGGGGCCTGGGACACACGAACAAATGGACACGAATAACAGGAGCCCCAATGTTTTCCTACAGTTTCTGGGTTCTCGTCTCCCGCCCCCATTTCCCATGTTTTCGTATATTTTCCTGGGAGCCGACGATTAATTGTGTCTGTGTGTTTTCCCCTCCTGAGATATTTCTCATGGCCGGCGGCACGTGCGCGGCCCAATGGGAGGGGCAAGGGACGGAATGAAATAAGAAGAGGCGTCGTGAAATATGGGAAGACATCATGGCCCTCGCCGGGATATCTACCCCCCCCCCCCCCGTAATCACCCCCCTCTTTGCCGCCCCCGAGATTACTCCTCCTGGGACGCACAGAGACATACGAATACTATATGTCCTCCTTGGAGGCGCGCGTCTGACCCGAAGATATAATATACCTATGTTGATGTATATCGTTTCCCGAGCGCCGTGGCCAGAAAGCGCCCGCTACGGCGCATATACTCGAACATCTCTCGGTGCGCGCGTCGCCCCTGGGCGGGCGACGCACATATAGTTTACAGTAGGGGCTCGACCGCAAGGAACCTGCCACAAGAAACCCGACCCTGAGACACCAGGGCGCCCATTCACTTTCGGCGTGGGCACGTCGCGCTTTCTGTCGCAGAACCCTCGAAGCCCCAGAACCCCAGGGCACCCTGGGGGTGGAGAAGGAGGAGGAGGAGGAGAAGGAGGAGGAGGAGGAGGAGTTGGAGGTGGAGTTGGAGTTGGAGAAGGAGGAGCAGGAGGAGGAGGAGGAGGAAGAGGAGGAGGGTGCCACCCTGGGGGCGAGCAGGGTGTCTCTTGGCATGGGCCTCCACTGTAAGCATGCTGGGGCGACGCCGATCCTCCTGCCGAGGCGCGCGCCTGCCTGGACAGCCCAGTCCTTGGTGGTCCCCAAACGTGGTGGTGAGAACACCTCCTCCTCCTCCTCCTCCTCCACCACCTCCTCCTCCTCCTCCTCCTCCTCCTCCTCCTCCCCCTCCCTCCTCCTCCCCCTCCTCCTCCCCCTCCTCCTCCTCCCCTCCTCCTCCTCCTCCGTCCTCGGGCGGCCTGCGGCACCGGAGAGACGGGGAGTGCACCAGAGGCTGTGCGGCGAGGCCACCCCGGCGGCCACGCTGGCCGCAGGGGAGGGGGAGCCGCCGCGGGCTGGGCGGCAGGCAAGGTGCCGTTGCTTGGTGGTCCCCAAACGTGGTGGTGAGAACACCCGGTGGTGAGTTTTGGGCGATTTGGGTAATAGTTTTCGAGCGCTGGCTGGCCCAGGACACGCAAAACCTCGTGGCGACCGCGTGTCCCAAAAACCCGGTGGCGACCCAGAACTATTCTGTTGGGGGGAGTCGGGGTCACCACCGGGTGTCTCACCACCTGGTTTGGAGACCACCAAAGTCCCGAGGCGGCCCGAGGGCCTCCCGGAGCGGCCGCACCCCACGGCCGCCCGTGGGCCCCCCCCCCCCCCGAGCGGCCAGAGGCCCCGGCAGAACAACAAAAAAAAGCGAGGCCAGGCCTCGGCCGCCTCGGGTGCCGCCCGGACGCCTCGGGCGGGGGCTCCACGGACTGCCTCCAGGTCGGGCCTGCCCCTCGAGGGGGGGAATCTTCAAACATAGCCGAAAAGTAGCCAGGGTAATATGTTTTGGACTTTTGGACCATTTGGGCATATTTTTGGAATATCTTTTTCATTTTTCGTCGAAGCTCCCCCTGTAGGGGGACACGCCCGACTACAGACTACCTGTAGGTCGGGTGGGTTCTCCTACATGAGGCGTTAAATGAATAGTGCAAAATCATCAGAAAATATACCAAAATGGTCAGAGAGGCCAGGCCTCGGCTGCCTCTGGTGCCGCCTGGACGCCTCGGGCGTGGGACTCACGGACTGCCTGCCAGACCACCTCAACTCGGGGGCGCGCAAACATGGATTAGCGATCCGTGGACTTGGCGCGCGGTCACCACATCCATGGATCAGGGGGGGTGCCCTCCCCAAAATGCGACCGGTGCCGCCTCGCTCGGCGGAGGAAATCATCGATTTCCCATGCCAACGGGGCCCGTCGCTAATCCACGCCCCCCTGATCCATGTTTGCGATCACCTGACTCTGGTACCACCTGGACGCCTCGGGCGTGGGAGTCACGGACTGACTAACAGACCACCCCGACCTACCCTTAGGTCGGGCCTGTCCCCCTACAGGGGGATTGTGGACACAAATTGACAACATGCACCAACAATACTTTGAACATATTCGAAAATAGTCCGACAAATTGTCCCTGTACCAGTTCTTGGCTGGTTTCGAATCTTCCTTCTGTGGGCGGACGGGCCCGACGTAAACCGAACCCGAAGACCCAAATTTCGGGCTGGGGGGTGGAGGGGTACGGGTTCCACACGTGTTTCTGCAATGGGACCACTTCGCCCTCCCTCCGGGACTTCGCCTCCGGCTCCTGTCCGAGGCGTACCTCTTCCTGTGCAAGCTCTTCGGCACCGCCTGCACCCTCCGGCCGCCTGAGGCCCCACCCGCCCGCGCCCTGTCTCCCCAATTCGTGCTCTGCGCGCCCCGCCCAGCTCTTAACCGGAAGAGGCCCGCTCTCGACCCGCAGACCCAAAAAAATCGGAGGGCACCAACTATACACCAACACCGATCCTGGCCCAGGATCACCCTGGGCCCAGGATCGGTGTATATGCCTTCTTGCGCAAGGCAGGAGGGCGTATACACCGATCCTGGGCCCAGGGTGATCCTGGGCCAGGATCGGTGTTGGTGTATAGTTGGTGCCCTCCTAAAACAAGTGTTTCTCCCATGGGGGTCAAAACGGTTTCTCCCTGTGCTCCTCCATCGGGGTGCAGGCTCTCCCCGGTTCCGCGCCCCCCCCCCCCCCTCCCCCCGGAAACGGAGGCCAAGCTGGGGCCTTCGAGTTGGGCTGGGGCGGTTCGGTGGGTGGTGATCCATGGGGGGAGCGTCAGGTCGGGCGAGTCCCCCTGCAGGGGGATTTTCGACGAAAAAGAGAAAAAACACTCAAGCAGTACTCCAAAATGCTCAGACGATGCTCAACAAAAAGTCCCCCTACTATTGTTTGACTATTTTTGAGTTTTCCCCCTGTAGATGGACCGCCCCGACTGAAGGGGAGCGATGCATGGGGGGGGAGGCAGGTGCACTTCTCGGGCCCCAGAGGCCCCCTTTTCAGCCCCTTTTCAGTCCTCAAAAAAAGGCTCCTCGAGGGGGCCCGGGAGGGCTCCTGCTCTGCAGCCCTCGCTGCCGCCCCCCCCCCCCCCCCGGCATCGCCATCGCAGCCCCCCCCCCTCCCCATATGACGCGAACGCCCAGCGCCGCTGAGTCCAGCAGGTGCCGGGACAGAGAGCCCCCCCCCCCAAGAGTCTTGGAGACGCACACATGATGTGTGCATGTGTATGTGTATGCGTATGCGTATTTATATATGTTATATATATACATATATATATATATATATACATACATACATACATACATACGTCTACATACTATAAAGCAAAAGAGCCATCGCTGGCTATATATGGTCCAGGGTCTGTCCTCCCCCAACCAGATGGCGTGGTGTCCAGCCCCCCCCCATGATGGGTGCCCCCCCCCCCTCCCCCTGTGGTGTGCTGTGCTGTGGTGTGGACGGGTGGTTTGCGCACGTGCATGCGTGCATGCGTGTCCCCCCGCCGCCCCCCTGTGGGTGTGGCGTGGTGTGGTGTGCTGTGGTGTGGTGGTTTGCGCACGTGCGTGCGTGTACCCCCCCCCTGTTGGTGTGCTGCGTGGTGGTTGTGTTTGTGCGTGTGTGCGTGCGTGCCTGCGCGTGCGCGCTTTGGGCGCGTGTCTCTGGCGTAGTCGTCAGCAAAGGCAGCGCCGTCATCGTCGTCGTCTTCACGATCGTCGTCGTCGTCGTCGTCGTCGTCGTCGTCGTCGTCGTCGGCTTAGCAAAGTCGTCGTCGCCGCCGTCGTCAACACCGTCGTCGTCGTCGTCGTCGTCGTCGTCGTCGTCGTCGTCGTCGTCGTCGTCCCCGTCGTCTTCGCCTTCGTCGCCGTCGTCGCCGCTGTCGTCGTCGCCGTCGTCGTGCCCGCCGCCCCCCCCCATACCATCTGGGGGAGAGACGTGGGAACCCTGGGACCCCTACCATCTGGGGGGGGGGGACGTGGGCACCCGACGCCCTGGATCAAATGTAGAGTGCATGCCGCTGTTGAACGTTTCCCGCTCGAACCTACCCAAATAATGCAGACTATAACTTCTGTGCGCGGTGGCGGTTGCGAAAACAATTTCGCATGACGGGTAGACGTAAGAATGCAGACTATAACTTCTGTGCGCGTTGGCGGTTGCGAAAACAATTTCGCATGTCGGGGAGACGTAAGACACGGGTTCGGAAAGCGCGGGTTGACCTCACTGGGCCGCCAAGGAATTGTTCAGACACACTCTGAAACTTGACGCGGACCCCCGCTGCAGACATCCCACGAACGCTGGACCGTCAACACTCAGGACGGCACCGCCGAAGAGCGTCGGCCAACCCGAACTCGGGCGTGCTCGAGCCTCACGGCTCCTCGATGCTGGGAGCCCCGAGACGAAACCTCCCACTGATCCCCACGCCATCGACCAGCAGCACACCCAGCGACAGTCTGCTGCAGCTGCTGTGATGGGCCTGATTTCCACCACCACCACCATCAGTTGGAGGGGGAGGGAGTCCTCCTCCTCCTCCTCCTCCTCCTCCTCCTCCTTCGTATCCTCCTCCTCCTCCTCCTCCTCCTCCTCCTTCCCCCCCTCCATCTTATTGTGGTGGTGGTGGTGGAAAACAGGCCCATCATGCTGGGCGCCGCCGCGCCACAGGCCAGCCGCCTCAGGTCCGAAAGCTCGCCCCGGGCCTCGCCGGCATCGCTCGCCGGCTCCGCGTCGGCAGGCCGCCGCCGGCTGCGCCGGCAGCCGTGCGGACGCTCTGCCGCCTCGCTCGGCGGCTCCGCGCTCGCCAGCGGCAGCCGATACAGCAACCTTTGCTGGTGGCCGTGCTGCCGCATCGCCGCCGACATCCAGTCGACAGCGGCATGAAGTAGAGGGAGTGGCGAGAGGGCGGCAGTGGCCTGTGTCATCGAAAAGCTGAAGCCAAGCGCGCCTCTTGAGCCACCACGTGTTCGGGTGTTCGGGCGGTGACGTATCTACGGTGCCGACAACAGCACCGCACTGCGACAACGGCAACATGTATGTCGCAGTCCGCCTCGGCCTGGCATCCTAAGCCGAACTTGTCGACTGTAAACTGCTGAGAGCTCTCGGACTCAAATCGCACACACACACATATGCACCCGTGCGAAGGACAGTAGTATGAACCGCAAACGAGAAAACAAGACAAAATCTTTGCTCAACATCTTGAAGGCTGCCACGCTGTGCCCCCACCACCTGGACGCGGGGGGACCTGGGATCTGGAACGGCGCGCCGCTCTGTGAGGGCGCCAAGGCGGCTCCAAAAGATAAACAACCGCATGCCCTTTCAACACTCTCTTGCCTTCTTCGCGTCGCGACAAGAATCTCGCGGCAGCGGGTGTCTGGACAGCTTTCTGACTCTCGGGGCCCGTGGGGCCCCGGGGGAAGGTGTGGCAACAAAAACATCACGACGTCGAAGTTCTGGGACCCTCTGGCCCCGGGAAGCCTGCGCCAGGCCAGGCAAGGCCTGGCAACGGAGAGGGCACCGAGCCCCTGCCGCACGTGCTGGGCCTCGGAAGCCCCGAGGGGGTCCGCCTCGTGCCGCACGCTCCCGTCACTCTGGCCGGGCCTGGCAGGTGTGGAGGTGTGAGCAACCAACCCCCGACCCTCCTAGCACACTCTCTGGACCTGGGAGCCCTGGGAAGTGTGAGAATGCAATGGTGCTGCTCCTCCTCCTCCTCCTCCTCCTCCTTTCCTCCTCCTCCTCCTCCTCCTCCTCCTCCTCCTCCTCCTCCTCCTCCTCCTCCTCCTCCCCTCTCCTCCTCCTCCTCCTCCTCCTCCTCCTCCTCCTCTTCCTTCCCTCTCCTCCTCCTCCTCCTCCTCCTCCTCCTCCTCCTCCTCCTCCCCACTTGCGAGGGCAGCAGCGATGACGACGCTATCGACTTGGAACGGCAGCGCCACGGGGCACACAGACGTGTTTGAAGAAGAACTCCTGGACTGTTGAAGGAGGGGCCTGCGGCAAGCAAGACTTGTCCAGCACTCCTGGGTGTGGAAATCGCATGGGACGCACATTGACATACTAATTCGATATGTCCTCTCTGGAGGCCCGCGTCCAACCCGAACAGATAGTATAGCCATCTTGTAGTATATTGTTTCCCGAGCGGTGTGGCCAGAAAGCGCCCGCCACGACGCACATACTATAAGATTTCTCGGTGCCCGCGTCGCCCCTGGGGGGGGGCGACGCACACATAGCATGAGTAGGTTGGGGTGACGCCGATTAAACCTCAATGGACAGTCTGGATGTGGAAGTGTGTGTGTGCATTGAAGAGCATGTGTTTGAGACTTATTGGGCCTGGTAGTTCAAACAGTTCCAATTCGTGGGCTTGAGTGTTCAGCAGAGTTAATCAACTTAGAAACTTGCGGGGAACCATCTATTGAGTGAAAAAGCGTTGGGGTCAATGGAGGCCCCCAAAACGCAAGCAAGTGACTCCCCACGGAGCGGCCCCGCTGGAAGACATCCTTTACCTCTGCAACTATCCCCTGCCAAACCTCCCTCGTGCAGTTATGCTAATGCAGCTTCCCTGGACATGCACACACACACACACACATGAAGCGAGCGCACGGAGGTTTCCTGAATGGGGTCCGACTAGATGATGTCGGAAGGTCGTGCCGCATCGCCGAGGCATCGGCGACGTCAGCGATGCATCGGCGCCGTCGGCTTGAGGAAGATCGGGCTCCACAGCCAGCCCCATCGCCGACGCCGCGGCCACGCGGCGCGATCCTCCGCCCCCCCAGGTGCTCGGAAACTCGGAGTCCACTCGGGAGGCCTGCAGCAGCCAAACGCTTTGGTGGCCCTGGCCCCGCAGCGCCGCACCGCGACAGGACGCCCTGCGCGCGCCCCTGCCTAGTCTTAGGTTGGGCGTCCCCCCCTACAGGCGGTTTTTGGACGAATCATAAACAATACTCCAAACATGCTCGAAAATAGTCAAAACATTGTCAAACAATTGTCCCCAGACTATGTCTTGACTATTTTTGAATATCCCCCCTGTAGAAGGACAGGCCCGACTTGAGCCCAGCCCCTGCGGGGCTCTCTCCGGGAGCTCCGGAACCCGGGAGGCCGCGGCCCCTGCATGGACGTCGCTGAACTGGCCGACGCGTGCTCGATAACAGCCTAGATAAAACGTCAAGGAGGTGCCTGCCCGTGGGAGACGCTGCGGAAAAAAAAACACCAAATCTCCATGGCGGTGCCGCCCACGGGTGAGCCTGTAGTCCGCCTTGTTCATCCTTCGGTCAGGGCCCCAGTAGGCTCAGGTGGGGCGTGTCCTCAGCTCGGACGAAACATGAAAATCATCAAACAACATGTCCAAACACACTTTAAAATACTCAACAATCGTCCCCAGACTTACTCAAAAATCGTCCCCAGACTTGAGGCCGCCTAGAAATGGTCCAAAAAGAATCGGTGGCCCAGACGATCTTTTTTACTATTTCTCAATCTCCCTCCTGTAGAGGGACACGCCCGACTTAAGAGGAGGCCAGGAACAGCTGATGCCCCCCTGGCCTGGCTTACCAGCCTGGAACATATCCCTATCCGTATGCTGGGCACCTCCTCATCACGATGCCAATCTTAGGGATTCCCTATTTTTTGAGGGCGAATCCCCAAGATTGTCATCGCCTTTTGGCGTGTCAATCTTAGGGATAGGGATACGTTCGAGGCTGGTAACTGGCGACGTCAAGAGTCGCGGCCCTGGGCGACTCGGGGAAGGTCCTCTGAAGGCCCTTGCGCCGGATCCACGGGAGCCCCAGCACGTGAGCTTGAAAACTCATCCGTCGGGGATGGACAGACTCCTCTTTCGCAACACGTGGTCTAGTGAAGACGACCTCGGGCCAAAACCTGGCGAGCGCAAAGCCTGGAAACTGACGGCCGCGGCGCCCCCTGGAGAACCGAGAACGGACAACTCCCTACTCGACGTGTCAGGGAAAGAGGTCTGTCCACCCCCGAAACCGCGGGGCTCTCGAGGCCCACGCTCCCCTTCCGGTCTCAGCTGGCAGTAGGTCGGGCGTGTACCCCTACGGAGAATTTGGGACGACAAATCAAACATAGTCAACAGATACCGCAGAATGGTCAAGAAATGTTCAAAACATCGCCCCCAGATTTGTTTTCACTATCTTGGAAGGTTCCTCCTGTAGAGGGACAGTCCCGACTTCAAGCTGGCACAATCCTGCCCGACCGCGCGAACAATCAGAAAGCACGGCCAAGCAGGGAGCAGGAAGGTGTGATTAATACCCAAGCCTCTGGGAGCCACGTGCGCGAGCGATGAAACCGCCAGAACGCCTCCGGCGCAACGCGCCTGCCGCGAGACCGCGCACACCGTGCCATGGCCCAGGGCGACCCTGGCCGGGCGACGCGGTTGTTCAGTGGTGCCACTCTGCAGTGGGACGCTGCAGAGGGTAACAAGGGATACGTCGACCCCTATCCCAGGCTTCGTGGGGTTTCCGAATGGACCAGAAATTTGGGGCCCAACCCTGGGATATACGATGGGGGGGTGCCCATCCTCGATAGGGGTGCGTCCGAATAGCCCCCTTGGGGTGCATCCCAGGGTTTTTCCATTTTTCTGAGCGGCCAAACTTTTTGGGCGAAACTCGGGGATTGGGGGAGAAACATCGCCTGCGAGAGGGGTCTGACTTCGGCGGTGGGCAAGCCTCCCTTTCGTACCCCACCCTTTATCGGGGAGACGTAAGACCCGGGTACGGGGGACTCGGAAATCCCCGACGAGGTCGTCAAAAAAATGACGAGGCCGAGCCTGCATTTTGACGAGGCCTCCCGCTGCAGACATCCCACGAAACTCCTCCTCGTCAAAATCCGAGTCGCGGTCGTCAAAAAACGATTGCGAACCCGAGTCCCGGCAAACCCGGGTCTTACGCTCCCCCGAATGATGGCCGCGGCGCCCTGTCGCGGATCGAAAACGGCCCATTCGCCACTCGACGTGTCAGGGTAGGAGGTCTGTCCACCCCCGATAACTCCTCCCTGCGTTCCCATTGCCGCGGCGGCGGCGAGGTCGGCTCGCCCGGTCGCGATTGATGGTCGGGCGGCCCTCGACGATCAGCGGGTCACAACCTCGGGCCGCGGCCACTGCCCCTCTCCAAGCCCGTCCCCCTGGAATCAAGTCCTGCTGGTTTGGTGGGATGGGGTCCGGCGAAACGGGCGGGGGGCATCATCCCTCCCAGAAATGCATCTGGACGGCCCAAACTGGCTTGGAAATGTGCGCCAAAGGCTACAAGACGCCTCAACGTGGCGCCCGTATGACTCAAGATTGAAGCGAGGCGGCCCAAGATGATTTCAAGGCAGCCCTATGAGCTTCCAAGACGTTCCCAGGGAGCTCCAAGAGAGACCTCCCAGAGGGCCTCAACAAGCAAGCATCGCTCTATTCATTTCGGGAAACGGGCATTTCCAAATATTCGTCTTTGGGAGACAACCTCCGAGGCCCATCAAATACGCTTTTTGGGCCTCCAACGCGTCCAAGATGGCCTCCGAGGCTTCCCAAATCGCCCCAGAACGGCCCGATTAAAAACCCAAGAGGGCCCCAAGACGGCCGACGAGACCTCCTGCACAGCCCCGGAGGGCCCCAGGAACTACCCAAAACAGCCCCAGATGGCCACAAGACGGCCCCAGAGGGGCCCAAGGCCCAAGATGATTCACGAACCAAAATGCGCCTTTGACGACCCAGGAAGGCGTCGAATGACACCAGAGGGCCCAAAAAACGCTCTGAATCGCCATCCCCCAAACGTTCCAACGCCCCTCGGTGTCTGCTCTCTGGCCGGCGTCGACGTCGGACCGACGATGGCGGCGCGCTTCAGCATTTCCGCCACTGCGCCCCCTAGCACGTTGAACGTGGTAGGACGCCGTGTGCCATCTGGAATGGATCTTGCAAGTCGCCCCCGTTCCTCGTCCTCCTCCTCATCCCGCTCCTCTCCCTGCTGAGGCTAAAGGAGCGCCAGAAGCCACGACCATGCTGGATGGCACCGGGATGTTCGCGGAAAAGTTCGGGTACCCCAAATCGGAGGAGACGACTACGGCCAGCTCACCCACTGGAGCCTGTTGGCTCTCCAAGAGGAAGAAATATGAGTGAGGTTTCTCGGAACGCTACTCTAGGCAAGTTGTGAGCTGGCCGTGCTGGTAGACAGTGAGGAAAATCATTCGCGAGGTTTCTCGGCACGCAAATCATGACAGCCAGTACGGGCACAACAGAGCGCCCTCATCGCCATCGCAATGGGAAGTATTTTTCCCAACCATCCTGTGGTGTTGGGTCCTCGTTTTGAAGAGACGGTGGCCCGCGTCTCCTCCTCTCCTCCTCCCCCCCCTCCTCCTGCCACACCCATTTCGGCACACCCCTCACACGTTTCGTGGCCCCACAGGGAGCTCCACCGAAGGCCCCAGTGCTGCCGCCCGCATGCGTCCCGCACACCCAATTCGGCACACCCCTCACACGTTTCGTGGCCCCATAGGGAGCTCCACCGAAGGCCCCAGTGCTGCCGTCCGCATGCGTCCCGCACACCCATTTCGGCACACCCCTCACACGTTTCGTGGCCCCATAGGGAGCTCCACCGAAGGCCCCATGGCTGCCGTCCGCATGCGTCCCGCACACCCATTTCGGCACACCCCTCACACGTTTCGTGGCCCCACAGGGAGCTCCACCGAAGGCCCCAGTGCTGCCGTCCGCATGCGTCCCGCACACCCAATTCGGCACACCCCTCACACGTTTCGTGGCCCCATAGGGAGCTCCACCGAAGGCCCCAGTGCTGCCGCCGCATGCTTCCCGCACACCCAATTCGGCACACCCCTCACACGTTTCACATATTCGCAGCCGACCCTCACACGTTCGTGGCCCCATGAATGCGCCGCCCCGGAAGGCCCCAGTGCTGCTGCTGCCCGCATGCGTCCCGTCCCCCCCCTCACACGTTTCGTGGCCCCATAGGGAGCCCCACCGAAGGCCCCAGTGTGTGCCCGCATGCGTCCCGCACACCCAATTCGGCACACCCCTCACACGTTCGTGGCCCCATAGGGAGCTCCACCGAAGGCCCCAGTGCTGCCGCCCGCATGCGTCCCGCACACCCATTCGGCACACCCCTTCACACGCTTTCGTGGCCCCATAGGGAGCCCCACCGAAGGCCCCAGTGCTGCCGCCCGCATGCGTCCCGCACACCCAATTCGGCACACCCCTCACACGTTTCGTGGCCCCATAGGGAGCCCCACCGAAGGCCCCAGTGCTGCCGCCCGCATGCGTCCCGCACACCCAATCGGCACACCCCTCACACGTTTCGTGGCCCCAAGGGAGCCCCCACCGAAGGACACACTGCTGCCGCCCGCATGGTTCCCGCACGCCAATTCGCACCTCCCCTCACACGTTCGTGGCCCCATAGGAGCCCCTCCGAAGGCCCCCCCAGTGCTGCCGGCCCGCATGCGGCCTGACACACCAATTCGGCACACCCCTCACACGTTTCGTGGCACCCATAGGGAGCCCCGCGAAGGCCCCAGTGGTGCCGCCCGGCATGCGTCCCGCCCCCCCGCCCAATTTCGGCACACCCCTCACACGTTTGTGGGCCCCATAGGAGCCGCACCGAAGGCCCAGTGTGCTGCCGCCCGCATGCGTCACCCACACCCAATGCGGCACACCCCTCACACGTTTCGTTGCCCCATAGGGAGCTCCACCGAAGGCCCCAGTGCTGCCGCCCGCATGCGTCCCGCACACCCAATTCGGCACACCCCTCACACGTTTCGTGGCCCCATAGGGAGCTCCACCGAAGGCCCCAGTGGCGGCGCTCACATGCGCATGCGTCCCGCATACAAATTTCGGCACATCCCTGACAGGTTTCGTGGCCCCATCATCCACCGGAGGCCCCAGTGGCGGCGCTCACATGCGTCACCCACACCCACCCAATTCGGCACACCCCTCACACGTTTCGTGGCCCCATAGGGAGCTCCACCGAAGGCCCCAGCGGCCGCGCTCACATGCGTCCCCGCCACCCATCCCGGCACGCCCCTCACAACAACAGGTTTCGTGGCCCCATAGGGAGCTCCACCGAAGGCCCCAGTGGCACCGCCCGCATGCGTCACCACCCGCACCCAATTCGGCACACCCCTCACACGTTTCGTGGCCCCATAGAGAGCTGCACCGAAGGCCCCAGTGGCGGCGCTCACATGCGCCCCCGCCACACATCCCAGTACACCCCTCACGCGCTTCGTGGCCCCATAGGGAGCTCCACCGAAGGCCCCAGTAGCGGCGCTTACATGCGTCTCCGCCACCCATCCCGCCCCCCCCCCCCCCCCCGCAGCAGCATCATGTTTCGGGGACCCATAGGGAGCTCCACTGGAGGCCCCAGTGGCGGCCCGCACATGCGTTTCCGCCACCCATGTCGGCACGCCCCGCGCGTGTTTCATGTCCCCATAGGGAGCTTCGCCGAATGCCCCAGTGGCACCCATCTCGGCACACCCCTCACACGCTCCGTAGTCCTACCCTATAATAGTGTACCCTACGGTACTCAAATTAGCCTGGCGAAAAACCCAACCACATGCAGTTGTTAGTACCGCGGCTGCGGGTTTCATCTTCAATGAACTCCCCATACGACTACGGAGCGTGTGAGGGGTGTGCCGAGATGGGTGCCACTGGGGCATTCGGCGAAGCTCCCTATGGGGACATGAAACACGCGCGGGGCGTGCCGACATGGGTGGCGGAAACGCATGTGCGGGCCGCCACTGGGGCCTCCAGTGGAGCTCCCTATGGGTCCCCGAAACATGATGCTGCTGCGGGGGGGGGGGGCCGGGATGGGTGGCGGAGACGCATGTAAGCGCCGCTACTGGGGCCTTCGGTGGAGCTCCCTATGGGGCCACGAAGCGCGTGAGGGGTGTACTGGGATGTGTGGCGGGGACGCATGTGAGCGCCGCCACTGGGGCCTTCGGTGCAGCTCTCTATGGGGCCACGAAACGTGTGAGGGGTGTGCCGAATTGGGTGCGGGTGGTGACGCATGCGGGCGGTGCCACTGGGGCCTTCGGTGGAGCTCCCTATGGGGCCACGAAACCTGTTGTTGTGAGGGGCGTGCCGGGATGGGTGGCGGGACGCATGTGAGCGCGGCCGCTGGGCCTTCGGTGGAGCTCCCTATGGGGCCACGAAACGTGTGAGGGGTGTGCCGAATTGGGTGGGTGTGGGTGACGCATGTGAGCGCCGCCACTGGGGCCTCCGGTGGATGATGGGGCCACGAAACCTGTCAGGGATGTGCCGAAATGGGTGCAGGGGACGCATGCGCATGTGAGCGCCGCCACTGGGGCCGTCGGTGGAGCTCCCTATGGGGCCACGAAACGTGTGAGGGGTGTGCCGAATTGGGTGTGCGGGACGCATGCGGGCGGCCCGCTGGGGCCTTCGGTGGGGCTCCCTATGGGGCCACGAAACGTGTGAGGGGTGTGCCGAATTGTGTGTTGGCGACGCATGCGGGCGGCAGCACTGGGGCCTTCTGTGGTGCTCCCTATGGGGCCACGAAACGTGTGAGGGGTGTGCCGAATTGGGTGTGCGGGACGCATGCGGGCGGCAGCATTGGGGGTGGGGTTCCCTATGGGGCCACGAAACGTGTGAGGGGTGTGCCGAATTGGGTGTGCGGGACGCATGCGGGCGGCAGCGTTGGGGCCTTCGGCGGGGCTCCCTATGGGGCCACGAAACGTGTGAGGGGTGTGCCGAATTGGGTGTGCGGGGCGCATGCGGGCGGCAGCACTGGGGCCTTCGGTGGGGCTCCCTATGGGGCCACGAAACGTGTGAGGGGTGTGCTGAATTGGGCTTGCGGGACTCATGCGGGCGGCAGCATTGGGGCCTTCGGTGGGGCTCCCTATGGGGCCACGAAACGTGTGAGGGGTGTGCCGAATTGGGTGTGGGTGACGCATGTGGGCGGCAGCATTGGGGCCTTCGGTGGGGCTCCCTATGGGGCCACGAAACGTGTGACGGGTGTGCCGAATTGGGTGTGCGGGACGCATGCGGGCGGCAGCATTGGGGCCTTCAGTGGGGCTCCCTATGGGGCCACAAAACGTGCGAGGGGTGTGCCGAATTGGGCGTGGGTGACGCATGCGGGCGGCAG